GAAGAAGTCTCTTGGAGGAGAGACGAAACGTTTCATTAGAGAAGAACCCGTCCAGAAGACCTATACTAGTTTTTTTCTCTTTATTAAAACCTTTTATGTCCATCTGAGTTTTCCATCCAGCTCTTTTGACATTTTCAAGAACAGTTTATTGATTGCTCACCTGGATGTCTGAGTGGTTTTGCTTTTCCTCTTATTTTTCTGCTTTTCTTATCACAGCTGTACTCACGTGGTCCACGCTGTTCCAGTGACCGGAGACCTCCATGTGGACGTGGGACAGACGAGTCTCTCCTGTCCTGTTGTTTGTTTCCTACAAACAGTCCAAACGTGATGGAATGAGAAAAAAAAAAACCCACAGGATCAAAGGGTTTTGAGGTTTTGGGGGGACCCACCTTGTCTGTTCTGTCCAGGACCCGAGTCAGTCCGTCTCTGCTCTCCATCGTCTGGTTGTGGTAGCTCAGGGGCAGATCCAGTGAAGACGAAGAGTGTTTTTCATTCTCTGTAGTTATCTGATGGATAAAAAATGTTGGAATAATTTTATTTATTTATTTGCACTTTAAATTCTCAAAGCGGACATCTGCAAAATCCACTGTTTTTAGCTGTTAAATACATTTTTTTGTGGACTTGGAGTCTCTATGAGTCAGAAAAGTTGAGTTTAGTCGCTCCTGCTGCAAAGATATCTTTATGTTCTGTTTGGGTCAGAGTATTAAGCCCTATTCTCTGTTTTCTATGACATCATTTTCTGAATTATTACGTCAAATTATCTGCGACAGAATGATCATATCCGATCTTAACTCTCCTCTGGTTCTGGGTCAGGCTCTGGTGGACAAGTCGTACCTTGTGGACATCTTTTAATTCAATTAAATAAAACGTTTCTGCAAGCTAGAAAACATACCCCCCTCTCTCAAAGCGGAGTGGACCGGTATGGAAGCAGGAGGGGGCGGAGCTTGAAGCATCTTAAAGGAACAGTAACAAAACGAGCTGCTTTGAGACACACATCATAAAAGAGGTAAAAGAGGAGCTGCTGAAGTTAGAATAAGGAGGAATTCAAACCAAAGCTTTGTAGTTCCACTTTAAAAAGACCCAACAGAAATATTTGAATGTGAAAAGAAGGATTTAAAAGCGTGATATGTTTACTTTAATTATGAATCGCGATCAGGATCAAACCAACTGGCGCAACTCAAATACTGTGTTGGTGAGTGAAGAGGTTGATTTTAAATTGTTTCAACTGAAAGACTTTTAAAATTAGTTTAAAATGATGGGGGACAAAAAACAAAACAAAAAAGTTCCAGCTTTAAATGGTGACTGTTTTACACTCCACGTTTTAGGATTTCCTAACAAAATAAAAAGTTGTTATCCGTCACAAACCCCCTCCTCAAATTCTGGATATTTTAAGAGATTTTTATAAAACTTTGAGCAAATGTTGAACATTCAGAAGTTTGTTCAGAAGTCAGAATATTCAAAATCAGCCTTTTTTATTTAAAGGAAATAAAAATAAACTCAGGTTGAAAATCATATTGTTGAGACCATTTGAGTAATTTCTTACCAATTAATCAAACTGGTTGTTTTTTTAAATATATAAAAACAGCCTCGTCTGAAAAAATCTTTCATCTTCTGGAAAATTAAGCAGCTTATGTTGGAGCAAAACATGAACTCTGGGTATTTTCCTATTTATCATGATTGCAAAGCAAACCTGGGTTAAAACTTAGACTGATTTGTTGAAGTCAGACCTTGCACAGTTAAAAGATGTTATTTTAATTAACCAGGAGTTTTAAATCTTCAGCAGTAAGCTTGATGCCTCTCTGTTTGTAAGAATAAAGAGTTAAACTGTTTAGCATCCAGATGATGACAGAACAAAGTGAGTCAGACCTGAAGCAGACATGGAAACTGTGTGTAATCTGATACTTAAGCTACTTTCTGACAAATCAGTTCTAGTTTAGTTGTGTTTCTTCATTCTTGTTCCCTGTTCAGGTCCTAACAGTCCAGCTCTTTCCCTGTCTGATGGAGCAAAAACGCAGACCTGGTCCACCGCCTCATCCAGTATGTGCTGCGTGTCCTCCATCAGCTCCTCCACCTCCCGGAACATTTCATTCAGGCTGACCGGACCCGGTTCCACCTGGTCCCTCGGGATCACGGCCCGGCCGGCCGTCCACAGCAGACCCAGAGTCCAGAACCCAGACAGCAAGCCGAAGCCGGACATCTCCTCTCCCTGAAAGCGAGCAGCTGCTGACTGTCTGAGCTGCAGAGCTGCAGTGACGCAGCTGGAGACACTTTATGTGGAAACTATGAGAAGTGCTGGTGGGTGGGTTTAACGGGCTGGAAAAGGCATCTGGGGGAGAAAAAGTCAAAGTTAAACTGATGCTTATCAGGAAGTCTAAACAAACAAACACAGGCTGTGAATATCAGCTAAAAAAACTCCTCACAAACCACCACATGAAGAATAACCATATAATAAACAATCAGCTGATGGATGATGCATCCCTCAGGTCCAGCAGATCTTTATTTTCCTCTCCTGTTTGTTTAAAAGATGACTTTTGTTTTTTTTCTTTCACTCTTCTTGTGTTTTAAGCACACTGTGCACATGTTGGCCGGTCTAAAGGACTGGATGAAAAACAAATGAAAAACCAGCAAAAATTAAAAAGAAAACAATCTTCAAAGACTCGTGGAAAGGCTGAACAATTAATGTATATAATCTAAAGAGATTATATCAAACTCATTGGTAGGGACATAGAGAGAAATTATTGGTGGTTTAAACTCTTTTACATGAACAAAGCAGCTATAAACATCTGGGATGGAGTTTAGGAACATAGTAAAAAAACAGGATGTAAAATCTAATTGGATTAATAAGGAAATAGATAACTTATGGGAGAAAAATCTAATTGCTTTCTATCTAACCCTCCTGCTGCTTTTAGATCGAAAGGAAGGACCCAGGAGGCCTCAGAGACCACGTGGGTTCTTTTGACCTAGGACAGCAGGAGGGTTTAAAGTCCATTTGGGATGTAGTAACCGTCCTTCACCACATGGAGGCAGAATACGAACAACCTGAAAGTTCACAACACCTTTTATT